AATCTCCTCCCTGACACCTGTCACTGGAGGTGGAAGATGGTGAAGAAAAGCCGAAGAATAGCCCTAATCTTCAGATATTCGCACACTAATTTGTACGCCCGCATGAAGGCAGTTGAATTCAGATGCAGCTGAGAAGGTGCCAGGTCCAAGTGTACAAAGAATTCTTGCTGGAATTCTGTGAAGGGCAACCTCAACCCTATTTTCTTGAAGACATACTCGTACATGGGAAACCTTTCCCTATACGACGAGCAGATGCGATCATCCTCCATAGGGAAGTAGAGCCTCTACTATCCCTCGGCCCCTACTATGGTGAAAACGACCCCCGGTATATGAGGAAAAGAGTGAGGCGTGCTCCATCAGTTCGGCCATAGACCATTCTTCAGTAGAGGTCCTCACAACAGACACCCCTCCAGCATCAGGAGACATGGAATTATCATCAGTTGCAGTTTCCTGCGAGGAGCTCTCCTCGGATAGGTCTCTAAGAGGTTCTTCTTCGGCCTTGCACGACATTTCCTTTACTTGAAAAATAGAGGATAAAAGTGAATTCGATGACAAATTTAAATCCACCCTTCCACTTCTAGTTAAGTGAAAGGGCGCACGAAGTGCCAAGGACAGCGTCCCCAACCTAAGCCCTACTCAAATGGCACAGTTAACAAACGAAGAAATTCCCGGCAGATCTCCCTGGCACGTATGGGGAAAAGTCCCCCGTGCATAAAACCCAAAACCTTTAAGAGGAAACCATCGGACATCTAATAAGCACACCAGAATTTGTGGTTCCCTCCGGCGACGAACACCACTGTATCGCTACTATACCAGGATCAACTAAAAGCTTACAAGTTCCTAAGTCCTAAATTCCTAACAGTCACTACGACGCCGACAACAGAGAAAGTGGCTAAATCACCGTCTGCTACCAATAGCCACCAGAAAATGCCCTAAAACTACTTCATAGAAACCCTAACCGCATGCAATCTATGGTGCAGAAATCAGCAAAATAAACAATAAGCAGGGAATCAGCATACTTACGTGGCTGGGGACAAAGTTTTTAGGTCTAAATGGCTCTGGCTGGTGATTATACGGTGGTCGGACGAAGCTTGTAAGGTGGTCGGACGAGCTTGATGGCGGTGCACGGCTGGAAACATAGAACAGAAGACAAAGGAAGAGAGAGAAGCGAAAGTGCAAATGAGCAGACTCTCACTCTATTTATAGGAAATTCCAAGCACATGCAC